CTGGAACAAAATGCCACAGATTGGGTGGCTTAAACAACAGACATTTGTTTTCTCACACTTCTGGAGACTGGAAGATCAAGATCTCGATCTAAGATCAAGGTTCTGGCTGCTTGGATTTCTGGTGAGAGCTCTCTTCTTTTGGCTGGCGGATGGCTGCCTTCTTGCCATCTCCTCCCTCGGTGTGTGCCCTCAAGGACAGAGAAGGGGCTGGGCAGAGTGAGTCTGGGGGTGTCGGAGAGCTCTCTGGTGTCTCTTCTTATAAGGACACCGACCCCATTAGATCAGGGTCCCACCCTTCTGACCCCATTTAACCTTAAGTACTTTCTTACTCCACATACGGCCGCACTGGAGGTTAAGCCTTCAACATATGAATTTTGAGGGACACCAACAGTCAGTCCATGCCACCACCAAACAGCTCTGTCACCCAAGCTGGCTGAGTCTCAGGTGGGGGGGGACGAGGAGCCGCAGGAACGTGGATGAGCTGCGAGCCTCGCTCCCTTATCTGCTCGCTCATCCTGGTGCTTAGCAGCAGCATTCGTGAATGGGGCTTCGATCCTGCCCTCCTGCTGCCTGTGGTAACTGCCCTCTGGTGTCCCCACACAGGGTTGCTCGACAAGGAGCAATTCAGATAGTTAAGAATCTATATAGAAAGATTAGCTCCAGCACCTTTCATCCGTGAACCTTTGCCGAGCATATTAACCTGTTGCTCTGACCCTCAGCCAGTGCAATAATCGAAAAGACTTTCCAGGGTCAAAAGCCGGCAGACTGAGGCTGGGTCATCTGCTAATAGAGCAAGCCGCTCATGGCGGTGGGCAGGCCACTGCTTCCGAATGAGTTACCCGGACAGAAGGAGAAAGAAAAAGGGGCAAACAAAAACTCAAAAGAAGAAAACCTCCTAAGACGCTTCCTTTAAGTGGCCTTGTCTGTTTTTATTTCTTGAACGTGTTCTATTATTAGAAAGGTACTCTAGCTAATCAGGTTTTTCCCTTCGGTAGCTGGTTCACATTTTCTATGAACGAGAGTGTCATACACAGTCTCCTGTTGTGCCTTTATTAGAAATCTACCAAATAGCAGAGCTTTTTTTTTTTTTAAAGACTTTATTTATTTATTTGACAGAGAGAGAGACAGGAGAGAGGGAACACAAGCAGGGGGAGTGGGAGAGGGAGAAGTAGGCTTCCCGAGGAGCAGGGAGCCCGATGCGGGGCTCGATCCCAGGACCCTGGGATCATGACCTGAGCCGAAGGCAGACGCTTAACCATCTGAGCCACCCAGGCGCCCCATAGCAGAGCTATTCAGAAGAGTTTAAGGTCAGAATTCTCCCAAGTGATGTGTCCATGCTGAGGGTGCACTAAGTAATCTGCTATGAGGGTGAGGAAATTTGGGAGCTTCTATTTATATTTGCTCTTAAAATCTCATTCTTTAATTTCTATTTTGTGTGTGTTTTATCATGTAGATGATATTCTTTTCCAGTTGATTCTATCAGCTGTGCTAACTGATCAACCCCATATTCCCAGTGGCTTAACACAATGGAAGTTTATATCCTGGTCACGTAGGGTCCCATATGGGGGTTCCTGGTGGAGTGGCCTTCCACATGGCCCCTTAGAGGCCAATGCTCCATCCATCTAAGGGGTCTGTCCCCATCCATGTCCTCAGAGCTCTCTCTGCTCAACCAGTATGTGGGGGAAGGGAGCTTGGCACACCCGCTTCTTAACCATTTGGCTCAGGAGTGACATATTTTACTTTCTCTTTCCATTGGCAGGAAATGGCCCCGCCCAAATCCAGGACGGCCCAGAATCTAATCCCTGGCTGAGCCCCTACTCCACAGCACAAACTTTTGAGGCCAGCTAGCTACCTGTGCTACATATAGGAGGACATGTGTTTGTTTGTTTTTAATGGGGTTATGCAACCATGAGAACTACACAATCAACAAAATTTGGAGACCAGTGTTTTTAGGAACTGCCCAGTTTGGCTATCAGGCCACAGTTTGATTCTTTTCTCCAAAATGAGGTGAACTGAGCAACACAGTTCATGCTGAGCCAGGGTCAAACGGTACTTAGTTCGGGACTGCCCTCACTACTGCCGGCCCTTGGGTCCAAGTGAGACTCGGCAGTGGCCATGAGTCTGGGGCCCCACAGCCAGGCTCCCTTGGGGTTGGGGATGAAGCCTGAGGGATTTCAGCAGCTTTAATGAGTCCATCTCCATAGGCTCCTTCAGGTCATCCTTTCTGGTGACCAGCTCTTTCTGGTTTGCCTAAGGCTTTCCTACTCAAAGTTCTGCGTCCCAGGAAACCCTAGGACAGACCGAGATAATGTATCTGGGACCGTCCTGGTTATAAAATTCAAAGTCCCATGTTCAGTCTAGGGCAAACTAGGAGGATTGGTCACCCTACTGTCTTTCTAACAGACTCTTCCTGTTATTGTCCCTGGGTAGACTTTGAGGCATATGGTGACATCTGCCTATAACAAAGGAAAAGCTTCTCCCCTAATCATTTTATGGGAAACTTAAATATCAAAAGAGCACAGGATTATTGAGCACAGAGGGCTCTAACCAAGGAAGAGTAGACAGACACGTTTCCCGCAGTGTGGGCATGCAGGAAAGGGGACAGTCCATCAGTGGCCATAATCAGCTACCCCCTCTCTTCCATGTGAAGGGAAATGGGCACAGCCGCTTCCAATTGGAAGACTGTTTCCTGTTGCATTTGGAGACTTTTCCTGAGGATCACCTGTCGTAGGGGAACAGAAGATATCTGCTTTCGTGTCCACAAGAGACCAGAAATGATTTTCATTTTAGTTTTCTTGTCAATGTAACTGTAATTAGTCACCAATAAGATTGTTAAGAACACATTTTCCGAGTTTGGTCCCCTTGAGTTAAACAATGTTTGTGGATGACTCGCTGTGAACAAGCTGTCTTGGGACACATCCAGGCGTGAACCACCTAACTGTGGTGGCAGAAAGACATGGTCGCATGCTGGGGGGGCTGGAGGTGGGGACGGGAAGAGGACCTACTGAACAGGCAGAATGGGATGCAAGGTATGTCAAGACCAAGCAATACCTGGTATTCTCAGCAGGCAACTATAGAGAAGACCATCTGCAAATAGCCAGGCCCCAGGGCTGGCCGTAGGAGATTATTTTCAATCTCTGAGAGGTGATATTAAGACATGGACAGAGCCCCCTTTCAGAGGGACTAGGGCTTAAGGCAGGTGAGCAAAAGTGGGGCCAGGAGCAAAGGATAATGAGCACCACTAAGAGCTGAGGCCAGGGTGGGACCAACAGTGACTAACTGCCTACAGGGGACAGAGGGACAGCAGAACTGCCCAAATGCTCCAGGCTCCGCCCACCCACAGGGAGCACAAATGCAGTTACAGACACACCCTTGCCTGAATCTCAATGGCTTCTAAGCACCCCTGCTGACCCAGGACCTCAGCAGCCCCTCCCTCTGTCTTCTGGGTCACTTCCCGGAGCCCCAGGGGAGGTGCACAGGGACACAGCCCCTGCTGGCAAGCACTTGAAGGGAGGAATCCTGCCACTGTCCTGCTAGAGTCTTCCCCCAAATCCTGTGGATGCAAGCCCCATTAGCTTTCAGAGCTAGGGGTTTTGGGGGCCCAGCCTTCAAGCGGAAGTCTTAAAAGTCTTGCCTCCACTGTAGGAGTCAGTTGGCTTTTGGGTTTCTTTCAGAGGGGATTGCTCTGTGTGTGGTTATACAATCAGCATATCTGTGGGAGGAAGGAAATTCAGGAGCCACCTGTGTTGCCCTCTTGGTGGCAAAAGCAAAATAAAACAACTTTTTTTTTTTTTTTAAGTTAAGAAAAGAAAACCAGTCATGGTGACCTCAGCTAGAAGATACAGGTCTTCAAGAACCGGTATCAACTATTTCTGGGGCAGTTGCCTTATAGCCTTAAGTACACAAGCTTTAAGGAAGGATGTGGAATCATTTCTAATTCTCTACACTATGCCCCTGTCACCAGGATCAACTCAAGACATTACAGATGACAGTAGAGTTCTTTCCGGTTGTGATACCGTCAGCAAGGAGCTCAGCCAACCCAACCAAGATCACTTGGGGGCGTAGCACGGCAAGGATGAATATAATTCATCTTTTTTTCCTCTTTGCTAGGTGCAGATGAATTACCGTTTCCAGAGAACGGTTCCTTTTTGCTTAAAATAGTGTCAAAATTTCCGTCCAAGTCTTCTATGAATAGAGGCAATTTGACTTGATGTTAGGACAGAGCTTTGGAATCTGGTGGTGACCCAGTACCTTGGATTCTCTGCAAGGCATCGGTCAGCTTGTGTTCTCAGGACTTAGTTTTTTTCTCCATAAAATGGGAATGAAAAATACTCATTTACGTCAGGAGATTTTAGGGGAATTATTTAAAACTAATTTTTAACTGCTGAATAACTCAAGAGGAAGGCAGTGAGTGTGTAGGAATTTTGGGGAAGAGATCCGATTAATATAAATTGTGTTATTTTCTGGGTTCTTTAGAGAAGATGTGGAGTGAATTTTAGGCTTGGAATAAGGGCCATCTCAAGGTCTGTCTTTTGGAAAAGAGCTAGAATTCATTCCTAATACCGGCGGCTTACATGTAGGAAAGTGCTTCCTGGCCCTGATCTGAGATTTAAACAATGTTTGAGTCTTACTTGGAAGAATCATTTGACACGAAAAGACATCTAAGTTTTTATGTAATTCTTATAATATTTTTATAAGAAGAGATTAGACATTTACTTCCAGATGAAAGCATAATGTTTTCGTGTTTAGTTTTCTCATAAAATAATCCATGTCTGAGGCGCCTGGGTGGCTCAGTTGTTAAGTGTCTGCCTTTGGCTCAGGTCATGGTCCCAGGGTCCTGGGATCGAGCCCTGCGTCGGGCTCCCTGCTCAGTGGGAAGCCTGCTTCTGCCTCTCCTCCACGCTCGTGCTCTCTCGGTTGTTATCTCTGTTTCTCTCTCAAATGAATAAGTAAAATCTTAAAAAAAAAAAAATAACCCATGTCTTTATTTTTTCCTGCAGACAAAACTGTGTGGAGTTTTACCCCATCTTTCTGATTACATTGTGGATGGCTGGATGGTATTTCAATCAAGGTAATTTTCAAAATACGATCACCTCTGTTCTAATGATGACTGTGGTTCTTTGAACCATTAAGGAACAGATGTGCAACCATACATCTACTGATCCCGGAAATTGTTTTAAACAAAATAATCCATGTCTCTGTGCATCAAAGAGCACTGTTCCGCAGATAAGCTAACTTTGACTTCATTTCAATTTAATTCAGTTAAAAAAAAAACAAACTTGGAACAAACTGTATGCTGGGCATTCCCGGATGAAAATGACATGAGCTCTGTCTTCAACTCTGGTTCCTTAATTCTAGTTTCTCTGCAACAGTTCACCCTAATGATCATAGCTGTTATTTATTGAGCACTCACTATGTGCCAGGTACTGTTTTAAATTTTCAAACCTATCCAATGTACAGGATATATAGGATTAAAAGCCTTCCTATGAAGTAGGTTCTATAATTGATGCCTACTTTACAGATGAGGAAACTAAATCACAGGTTAAGTAATTTGACCAACTTAACATTGATCAGTGTAGGAGAAAACTGGCTTTCAGGTACAGGCAGGGTCTACAGGTGTTTCCCCAATAACCCAGGTACCTTTTCTTGAGTTCCCCAAAATGCCCCTGCGTGTAGCAGCTCTGCAAACATCTGGGAACATCCTCGGTGAGCTGAAGGCTTAACCCAACTTGGCCTGTCTCTTTAACACCGGGGGTCAGAGGAGCACCAGATACCTTAGTTGGAGAAATTCAATCTCTTTTGCTTTCTGATAACTTTCATCACCTCATTTGGGTCTGACACTTGATGGCTGAGATTGCAGTAAACCCCAATCCAGCTGCTTTCAAAGGCAACCCCATCACTGTCCTCTTGTAATTTTTACTGTCAACTGAGGAATTTCAGATAAAATGTCCTTCAGAGAGAGACTTCTTAACTCTATTCCAACTCACATTTTTGTCCCCTGAGGGCATGAATGAAGGGGGTTGTTCCTTGTCAGGTAAGACGGCATTAACAACTAATAAGAAGAGTGCCTTTGATAATGGGACTCAGTCTCTGCTGTTTGACCCTTTGGATATTTCACTGTAATGGGCTGAATGAGGCCCACTGTCAGAAAAGGATTTTCTGTCATAATTTTCGTTCTTTCTCATGAAAAGTTACGTTGCCTATTAATTGTCCTGAATAATTCTCATTGGCTTCGCGGGAGTTAAGTCATTAAAGGTGGGGGGGGGGCCTTCAAAACTGCAGCCTGTTTCAGGATCTCTCCACCTCCTCCCTCACAGGCAGGTGCCCACCCCTCACCTCATCTCTTCACTTGGCCCCCTCCTTCTCACCTGCAGGCCCCACACAAGCGTCCTCCCCTCAGGAGGCCTTCCCTGACCCCTTTCTAAGGGCGGCCGCCTCCATCCCTGCTGTTCCATCCATCCTGCTTCATTTCCTTCACTGCACTTTCAATTCTGTGATGTTCTTCTAATTTTTCTCCGTGTTGTCTGTCTTTGCTGATAAACTCCGTAAAGGTAGGGAACTTGTATCTATTTCACTGTTAACCCCAATCCTTAGAATGATACCCGGTATAGAGTAGAAACTAAAAAAAAGGTTTGTGATCTAATAAAACAAGGAATTTAATTTTATCCAGGATATCAGAGCCCCACAGATAGACTTCAAGTGTGTACCAGAGGGCTCTTGAAATTTGCATCCATTGGGTGCTGAGGAAGAGAGAGGTCCCTGATGGTAAGGGAAGATACTGATATTTTCTGTTGGACAAGATGGCAGAGGATCATGCCACACTTTACATTTCTTTTAGGTAAAATTTATGTTCTGTGTAGTGAAAGGCACAGGTCATACATGTACCATTCAATGATTTTAACAAGTGTATGCCCATCAAGAAGGAGAACATGACTACCACTCAAAGTTTTTTTTTTTAAAGACTGTATTTATTTATTTACTTATTTGAGAGAGAGCGAGCAGGGGGAGGAGCAGGGGGAGAGGGACAAGCATGTGGGTGGGGCTTGATTTAACAACCCTGAGATTACAACCTGAGCTGAAACCAAGAGTTGGACACTTAACTGACTGAGCCACCCAGGCGCCCCCAGAAAGTTTTCTTATGCCCCCCTTCGTATGCCCCTCCTCATTAGGCACTTTCAGAGGCAAACACTAGTCCAGTCTTTTTCATCATAGTTTAGTTTTGTCCATTCTAGAACTTTCCATAATTGGAATCTTACAGTATGTACTCTTGTGCAATGCTTCATTCACTCAGCAAAATGTTGAGACTCGCTATGTTGTTGCAAGTATCCGTGTCTTTTCATTGTTGAGTGGTATCCTGTAGTATGATTATCTCAGTTTGATTATCCATTCTCCTATTGATAGGTGTCTGGGCTCTTTCCCGTTTTTTACTATTGTGAATGAAGCTGCAATGAACATTCTGTACGAGTCTTTTTATGGACATGTGCTTTCATTTCTTTTGGGTAAATATATAGGAATGGAATTGCTGGGTCAAAGCTTCATAAGAAACTACCAGAACTTTTCCCAAACTGGCTGTACTATTTTGCACTCCCACCAATAATGTATGAGGATCCCAATACCGCCAACATTTTGTGTTGTTGGTCTGTTTAAATTTTAGCCGTTCCAGTGGGTATGCAGTGGTGTCCTCTCACTGAGGTTTTAAGATGCAGTTTGCTGATACTGAATGATGTTGAATAATATTGAAAAGAACTCTCATGTGCTTATTGGTACATTTGCTTATCTTCTTGCATGAATTGTCTATTCGAATATTTTGCCCATTAAAAAAATTAAGTTGTTTTCCTTTCACAATTGAATTGTCAGAGTTGTTTGTGTATTCTGGACACACACACGTTTTGTGAGCATTTTCTCAGGTGTCATCCCACATTTTGAGAGACCGCCATCAGATTCTGTATCTTCTCTATTTTCTCTCTGTAGTTTTTGCTACTTGTCTGGGTGTGGTCTACATTTATGCCCGTCACCAGTATTTCTGGGGCTATTCAGAAGCAGCTAAAAAAAGGTAAGGAGAACCTACGAATTGGGTGTTTAGGCAAAGAGTAGCAAGATGGAGTCTGAATTAGCTGTGCGTTCCTGAGGGTATTGGCAGCCCCGATGGTCGTGGTTCTTCCCAGGCTGTGAGCAACTAGGGGTAAGAAGGGAACGTCAAGTACAAACTGTACACTCAGTGTGCACTCATGGCCGCCACACTTGAAATCCTTGCAAGAATTGTGCACAGTCTCCAAAAAGTTGCAAAGGAATTAATCCTGCCCAGTCTTGATCATCCTTTGAGTGTGCAAAGGGGCCAGCCTCTGTGGCTAGGCATCCCCTTGGATTTCTGGGACGAATCAAAATTTTCAAATGGCAAAAGCATGGAAGCTCTGGGCGGTGCCAGCAACGAGCAGCCTGCCTCAGAACGCTTCCCTTCATCACTGCAGCTGGTTATCACCTCTCTGCTTTGTGTCTGTCCTGTAGGATCACCGGTTTCCGACTGAGTCTGGGGACTCTGGCTTTGCTGACGGTCCTAGGCGCCCTGGGGATTGCAAACAGCTTTCTGGATGAATACCTGGACCTCAATGTTGCCAAGAAACTGAGACACTTCTGACGTTACCCCCTCCCTTTGCCCAAATGCTTGCAGAAGCTATTTCCACCCTGAAGGTCATGTGCGGTCAATTGATCAATTCTTTAAAAGAAGTCTTTGTTTTGTTTTTCCTGAAATGGCTTTGTAGGAACATGCCCATTAGAGAACACATTTCCTGTTTAAGAATTAAAGTCCGCCCTGAGGGGAGAGAGCCACATCCTCAGTGGAAGTGCACGGGCTCTGGTTCTGGAAGCGCATGCTGAAGTCACGATTGCTTATGCACCCTGACCGTGTGCTGGGTTTTCTATGGGGCCACCATCGTCCCCTGCCTCTGATGATCGTCCCACTTCTGTCTTGATGGAACGTTCCAGACAGATGCTGATAAGGCAGCCGTGCTCACTTCATTGGTCGTAGGAGAGCAACAGATGGCTGCACATGGGGGACGTCAGGCAAACACGTAGAGTAGCCAGAGAAGAGAGTCATCAACTAATAGCACAAAACAAATCTGGGTACGAAATTTACTTTTTAAAGAAAAAAGGAAGAAGAAAAAAAGGGGGAGCATTCATTTTTAAGGAACCATTCAGAGACTAGTGTGCAGTGGATGTCCTTGCCCCTGGCCAGGGGAAGGAGGGGCACGGTCACAGCTAGAGCTGGGTTCCGCTGTACGTCCTGCGTCCCATGCGGTTTGGGGTCGGCAGCTGTTGTGACCCTGCAGTGCGGTCACGGTGTGGCACAATGCAAATGACCCTCCTTTACTTTCTTCATCTTCTTTTTCTTCTTTTTTTTTTAAGATTATTTATTTGAGAGAATACACAAGTAGGGCAGCAACAGAGGGGAAGGGAGAAGCAGGCTCCCCGCAGAGCAGGGAGCCCGATGTGGGGACTCGATCCCAGGACCCTGGGATCATGACCTGAGCCGAAGGCAGACGCTCAACGACTGAGCCACCCAGGCGTCCCTGCTTTCTTCATCTGTAGGCTGGGAATGAGTTCACCTCACAGTCTTCAGGGATGTTAGGAAAATGGAATTATGAGCACAGATAACACATTTTAACATCCGGAAAAGGGCTCTTTGTCCATTTTTCTAAAGAAATCTGGACAGCCTCGAGTCTGTTATGGGCATCTTCAAGAAGCTGTTGACCGGGTGGGTACAAAGGAAGTTTTAAAGACTATGAATACTAGGAAAAGAAATAAAGGCAATTAAACACCAGCGTTTCCAGAATAGTGGGGAAGAGATGACACCGCCCTGCACCCCACGTAGCAGTACTAAATATTCACGAATACACTGAGAACATAACGGTCTGGGGATAGGGCTATCAGGATCCTACTCAATGGCTGTTTGCCTTCGAGTAAGGCACCTCGACAGTAGGGGCCGGGCAGTGAAGAAGCGAAGACCAGAGCCCGGCAACACGAACCCTCTTCTAGGACGTGCTGGGCCTCCTCCCGCAGCTCTTCGCGGCTCTCGGCCTCCGTTTTCCTTGGGTAAAATGGGCCTTTACTCACTCTAAAATGCTGTGTTTCTATGGCCTTTTGCTTGTTAGTATTCTGATCAGTTACGGTGACTTGTATTGTGACATTTAATTGTTTTACACATTGAAGACAATAAGGAAGAAAGAATGCAAATTTTTGACCCCAAAGAACAATTACTGCATAATCATATCCTTCTGAAGAGGGGAAAAGAACACTCGACTTTTCCCAATCTTGCACTTGAGGATTTATAAACAATTTCTATTTTGCATCTGAATTGGAGCTATTTAAAAAGGTAAACTACAGGGGCGCCTGGGTGGCTCAGTCAGTTAAGCGTCTGCCTTTGGCTCAGGTAATGATCCCAGGGTCCTGGGATCCAGCCCCACATCAGGCTTCTTGCTCAGCGGGAAGCCTGCTTCTCCTTCTCCCTCTGCTCCTCCCCCTGCTTGTGCTCTCTCTCAAATAAATAAATAAAATCTTAAAAAGAAAATAAAAAGATAAACTACAAACACACACAGCATTTGGTTAAAAACTTGTGGAAAAAGAAGAATGGGTACACCAGGATATCAGAGCTTTGTATCTTTAAACATCTGAACCGTAAAATTGATTTCCTTTGTTCTAATTCTATTGTCACCAAGGCAACCTCTTGATTATTTTAATTCCTATAAATTTGGCTACAAGGAGGAAACGTGCTGGCCAGAGAGATGTGGGTCTCTGAGCTCTTCGAGCGTTATATAGGTATATGTTTTGTATATTAATGAGTTGATGGGTTTTATTTTTAGAAATCAGATTCATTGTCTCAAAAAAGTGTTAAGAAAAAAGGGGATGGAGAACCATTCTATATTAAAAGAGCCTTAAGAGGCATAAAAACCAAATGGCAATATTGGATCCTTGATCAAATCCTGGTTGGAAAAAAACAGCTATGGAAGACATTTGGAGACAATTGGGACAGTCTGAATATGAAGTGAGAATTAGGTGATATTAGGGAATTAATGTTAATTGTGTGAGGCGTGACAATGATCTTGTGGCTAGGGAAGAGAATGTCCTAATTCCTGGGAGCTGCATGTTGAGAGGTTGGAGGGTGAAGTAGCTGAATGGGGATAACTTATTTGTTACGGTTCTGCAAAGTATGCGTGCCCAGCATATATGGCAAAGTGCTGAGAGTTACTACATCGAGGCTGGTATGCAGTTACTCATCGTACTGTCTACTCTTCTGTTTGATAATGTTCATAATGAAGGGTTTAAAAATCATTTCTAAGAAGTTAAAACCTAAATTAAGATTCTTGGTAGCTGTGAACATTTTTTTTTTTTTTAATTGAGCACTCTGTGCTTGTTGTGGGGTCTGTGGGATTGATAGGAGTGGTGGCCCAGCAGCTGTCCCGGACGCGGCAGGGACACTGGGCCCCACTTGCGTGGTTACTGCCATAATCGCCTCCACCTGTTGAATGAAATCAGACAGGTTGTGGTAACTTGCCCAGAAGATACCGGAGTGGGAATCAAATGTCGTTGGAACTTGAAAAAGAGAGTAGAGGACAAAACTGAAGAGAGAAGAAGAGGGGAAAAAAAAAAAAGAAAAAAGAAAACAACAGAGCACTGATTATACAAACAAGTAGCCCTGTCCCTTCCCAGGCATTTCCCCTCCCCTACTTGCCTTTGCAGGGTTGGAGGTGGGTGCAGTGTTCATAAGGAAAAACATCAGGTCGTTTGTTTTTTCACTGTCTCCAGACACAGTTTTCCTTGAAAAGAATGGTCACAGGCAGATAGCTCATCTGATGCTTCTGAATGCTCCTTAATTTTCAGCAATAAAATACATCTTTCTCACTGGGACAGACGCTTAGTGACTTCCCCGATAGATGTTTATTCTCTGTCTCTTCCCCCATCACACACTTCCTGCACCGGGATTTTAAAAAGGTCAGTAAGATTACATGTAAGAGATCGTTTCAAAAGAGAAGGGGATGCCATTCATCCAGTGCAGAACACACTTTCATGTGAATGAAAATGTGTGGTTTTAATTACTCGGGTCTAGGAATACTCAACTCTTCTCAGAGCTTCAAGCTCTTACTTCTGTTTATCAGCCTTCCCCCCCCCCCCCCCCATCAGTTCATTCTTCAACTTCCTGTTATCTGGTAGAATACTACGCCCTTACGGGTGGGACAAAGCCCCGTGTCACACAGTTTTCTCCACTCTGTTATATGCCAGCCAGTCTGGAACCATAGTCCTCCAGGGGTAGGGCCGGCCTCTCCCACAGTCAAGAACATTCTTTCTCTTGGTTAGTATGTATTAAAACTCACCTTTGTTTTGGATCGGTTTTTGAGGATGATTTTATTCTGTGCTTGTGGCCTGTTTTTCTGCTTAACCCAGATAGTTTTGAGTCGTGTTGTTTTACTATGCTTTTTCAAGTTTGATGGAAAGTCTTAGGTCAAGTCTCCTAGAAGGGGAGGGGTGGATTCACACGTGTGTGATTCATTAGTGAAGGTCCCCCAGAAGGGCAATCAGAACAGAGTGGGGAAGGGCCAGAAGCCCAAGTAAGGACAACTTCAAGCAAAGTCCTAGCCTCTGCCTGACCCCACAGGGGAGTTCTAGAACATAAATCCTATCTCAGGGCTGGTCCAGGCCACTTGACTGCGTTCTCACACGCTTCCTCCATCGAGACACTGACTAGGGTGGATCTGGAGAAATGCAAACTTCTAATCATTTCCAACAGTTTGTGGACGGTGCAGGCCAAGCCAGGCCTAGGCCCAGCGCAGCCCTTCAAAGAGAGATGCAGCGAGGGCTGGTAGGAATGAGGTGTCCATGGGTTGTGTGTGTGTGTGTGTGTGTGTACATAGTGTCCACTGAGTGGGCAAGACCCTTGCGTGACTCTTCCTTCCATATATTCCTTGAGGTTTCTTTCTTTTTTTTTTTTAAATGAAAATTTTACTATCAATTTTCTAAAGAGCCAGTTGGAAATTGAAAGTACTGAATCTACGAATGGACTTAAGTATGTTCTTTTCAAAGCTGACTTTCTTCTCTTCTGTTTGCTACATCCCTTGGGGTGCAAATTTAGAGTGTTTTAGTTGTGTGGTTGAATTGAAAAGACTGGGAATGATTGACTGATCTCCACTGTTAAATAAATGTTTAATGATACCACGAATTTTGAGACAAGGACTGCAGTTAATCAATTAAAACCCAGGCGTAGTATATCCGTTTAATTAAGGTTGGAGATCCAGTGACATTCCTAAAATAAACTATACTTTGGATGGATTCAGATAATGATCTTTTATTTGTTTTCTTTTCTTTAAAAGTGGTATGTCAACATCACTTCATTTCTACATTTCAGAGTTCTGTACATTTCTTAAAAGGAAATAAGCAATGCTCAATGTACAAAGTAAAAACAGAAAACTAGAAAAATCTGAATAAAGTGGAGCAAGTTGCCGTAGGTCATACAGTACAAATTAGTCATTAGATGTCATCTGAAGTGCAATATACCACTGCTGTGATGATGAGTTAAGGAATGAAATAAAAATACTCTATTTTAAACAAACAGTATATATATATTTATATGTATATTTTTTACAGATAGTAGACCCAGTGATATCTGCAGTATTGTAAAAACTTATTTACAAATAACTTTTTTAGACATTACATATACATCAGCACCGTAGTAAAAACAAAAACAAAAACAAAACAAAACGACCTTATTAAAATCTACCTCTCTATTTAGTTGGTCCCAGTATTAAGCATTTGGAGGAAGCTATTAAAAAGTACTGGAGCCCCCTTCTCCCATCAGCCACCTCCAGCTTCTCATCATTGCTCATATATTTGTTTCCTGTACCTTTCAGAAAAAGGTAATTATGTTTTCTGTCTTCTTGCTTATTTACTTTTTTGTTTATTTATTTATTTTTTTTTGGTTTTTACCTGTTTCTACTCAAGAGTTTCCATGGTGGTGTCCCTCCCTGGGCAAGGAGTTCATGGTCACCTGCCACCACGTCTTCCTAGGAGGAGCCGAGCCCCTGCCTGGGCTCTTGCCCACCTGGCCTCCTCTGGTCTCCATCCTGCCCCTTGCTCAGTAGATCTACCACCTTGGGCCATGGCGAGCAAGCCAACGACAGTGTTTGCCTGCCTGCCGCCTCTCCGCCCTCTGCCCCCAGCTTTCCATTCCAGCCCCCTGTCTCAGGAACGCCCTGTGAGTGCAGCCGGTCCAGCTCCCCCCAGCCTGGCTGCAGCGAGGTACGAGTAGATGCACAGGAGGAGCCAGGCTTTCGGACGCCGAGGGAGCGTGTGGTGGGAGAAAAGCATGCTCCACTCTTACTCTGGACAGTAATTATGCCACATGGCCTCCAAAATGGGGCGGTGGGAACAGCAGCAAGGACAAAAGACACAAGCCTTATGGTAAGTAGCAGAGGTTGTCATCCCTTCCGACAGACTTCGCCTGGAGCAGATTGGAGTGAATTACAAAGAGAATGACTGTACAGGACTTTGGAAGTGGATGACTTTGCCCATATGGAAGGAACTGTATCTTCCTGCTTTTTATCGTCAGAATGGGTCAGGTGGAGCCACTGACATTTCAGTTCATCTCTCAGCGTTTTAGATTTGTCTTTCTGGTCAGGAGGGACTAAGGGCAAGGCCAGTTTCAGAACACAGGGAGCAGGGTGAGCGCCTTTGGGCCACGGCTCCCAGGGTAGAGCAGAAGCATCCGGTGTGGCTCACAGCAACCCACCATGGAGCATCAGAGGGGCCTGCTCAGTCCCAGGCAGAGACTATTCACTCAACTACACGTTAGAGAAAGAAAACTCCAGTGTCGCCTTGGCATTTCAGGCCTTGTCTAAGTGCTTGCCTTTATTACGATTCTGCCCAGGCCCCCAAAGACTTTTGTCTTCATTTCTTCTCGTATAGTGTGTAAGGAGAAGCAAGGGCAGGATGCGGTGGAGGCAAGGAGGAACAAGGGCAGGGGTGCGGGGAAAAGCGGCCACACTGGCAGACACGGCAGCCAGTCGGGGTCTCTCCCCACCCTGCGGCCACCGGCAGGAGCCGTGGACTGCCTAGCCGCAGCTGTAGGACACCGGGCCCCCAGGAGGCTCCAGGCCGACTACCCGGAGTGCCGGCGCCACGGTCACGGTCACCGGCAGAGGGCTGCGGCGCCCCTTCTCCAGGCTCGCGTGGCTCTCTTGGAGAGGCAGCTGACAGCAGCGCCTCTACAATTCCTGAGGGTCCTCCCCGGGCAGCCGACGGGCTCGGAGGAGCCTCTGGGGTCTCCCGTTCGCCGCGCCTACCCTCCAAACACACCAGCGCGTCTCCACGCCTGACCTCTCTCGGCGGCCGGAGCGCGGCGCGCTTCCGACCTGTGCTCTTGGCCCGGGCAACCACGCGGCGGCGTCCGCGGGGCGCTCCCGGGCCCGAGGCTCCGCGGTGCGCGGTCTCCGGCTCGGGGCCAGGCGGGGCTGGCGGAGCCCTCGCGCTGCGCGGCGGTCTGGCGCGGCTGGCGCAGCGCTCCCTGCGCCCGGCGAGCACAGGGGCTGCCGAGCACAGGGCCTTCGGATCCGTCTTCCCCACCGGCCTCGGCGGCGCCCCTCTCTCTCGCAGCCGGGATCCGCGTGGCGTCTTGTCTCGACTGCTGTGTGGAAATCCGGTGAAATGAGGCCCAGCGCGGCTGTGGACTGGCACCTGGATCTTTCACTGTCAGCCAGCTGCAGTTTTGCTCAGTTTACGTGGGTCAAAAAAACAAAAAAAACAGGGATGGCTCAACATCCTGTTTCTTTTTCACGTTTTAGGCTTTCAACACTAGACTTGTGGCTCTCGCGGCTCCTCTTGACTAGGGGTTCCCAAACAACTCATCAAGCTCCTGCATCCACTCGTCCCCCGGCCCGCCTTTGATGATGGAGTCCACGAGGTCCGCACTGTCCGAGAGGCCGGGGAAGGAGGCCCCGGCTGCTTCGCCGCTATAATTGTAGGACATGTCCTGAGCGGGGTTCCGCTCGTAGGCCTGGCTCTGGCTGCCGGGAGCGAAGCTGCCGCTGGGCATCTGCTGCTGGGCTGGGGGCTGGCTGAACGCTGGCATGCCCGGGACGCCCTGGCTTAGGCCAGGCATGACCATGGGCCTGGCCTGGCCGCTGCCTTGCTGCCCCGGGAGCGGTGGCATAATCTGGCGACCCATGGCAGCTGGGTTGAGGGTTCGCACGGCGCCAGTGTTAGCATCCACAACCTGGCTCAGTCCCTGGGGGAAGTGTTGCTTGGTCAGCCTCGGCTGGCCAGCCTGAAGTGGGTAGCTGGCGCCGCTATTGAACGATCCCAGTTCTCCACTAGTCCTCCCGGGCATCCCCTGTAAGCTCCTCTGTGGCCAGCTCTGCGTTCCCTGCTGGACTGTTCCCATAATGCCCTGCAGCCTTGGCGGGCCCTGGGGCCTTGGCAGGGCTTGGCTCACCGGCCCTTTCATCTGCTGGTGCTGCTGGGTAATGGCTGAGTTCACCAGCATGCTCTGACCAAAACCACTCACCATCCCAACCCCTTGCCCAGAGGTGGGCTGCCTTGGCCCCTGGCCTTGGTTGTGTGTGATGCTCATGCCACTTTGGTTTGGGTGCTGCAACATTTGGGTCATCCCTGTGCTCATATTGTACATTCCTGGTTGGCTGGTAGGTGTGTTGCTATAAGGGGCCAGTCCCATCTCGGACTGGGCTGCTGCCGCGGCCATTGTCCCTGGGTTCTGGGAGGGTCCCATTCCCATCATGCCTGCGTTCTGTGCCATCAACCGTGACGTTCGAATGCTCTGGAGGGCCGCTTGGCTTCTCACGGCTGCTATATCCTGGGGAGAACCTACAGGGGAAAAAAAGACATACCCATTCACTCATCTTGATAAGCAGTTTACTGTAACGTGTTGTTGGGATTATCTTTAGGCATGACAAAATTCTTTTATATGAAAGGATCTACTCTGATCCTAAGTCCTTAATAAAAATGATTATTTTTCTGACTATAATATATGCTGATTGTAAATAATTCAGAAAATACTGAAAAGTACGATGAAAACTAAAGTTACCCAACCCCCCCCCCCAGAGATAAACACTGCTATTATATAAATAGACACATGAAAATAGGGATCATACTGGATACATGCTTTTGTAGTTGACTTGACAGACTTATTTTTGTTCACATTTCAAAAGCAAATTGTTTCTCACTCTTCTTGATAGGATGCCATCCTCAACCAATCAGGCACCATTATTCTTGGAGGTGAGAGGGAATTCACCTACTGGGCTAAATGAAGAAGCAACGGCTGATCACTTTGTGTATTCTGTTTGTGAAGTGGAACATGGTTCAGTAGAGAACAGTATCAATAAAGACCATTAGACTAATTTCCCTTAAGACTTGAGCAGGATTTGAGAGGTTAAAGGCCACTGCTCCTGCTAAGAAGCTATTTCGACAGATGAGACATTTTTTGGATCCACTCTATAGATTTCCACATGCTCCAGATTCTCTGAATCATAACATGTCAGGGCAAACTGGCCAGCTTCCTGAGCTAGAAAAAGAAATCATCCTGCTACTTGCTCCTTGGCAATGAACTTTATGCATTTTTGCAGCAAAGTCCACTCACTCCTTCAAGTCGGCAATGACCACTTTTCTCAGCAGATCGCTAACATGGTTTTAATGATGCTGTTTATAAGTTGACCAGAGTATGAATGCCAAGTCCCTCAACTTTAATTAGGCATTTGAGTGAGTCCTTCTGTTACGGAAGCTGGACTGGATCGCCTGACGGAAGAACCAAGTGGTACCCAGAGATCGTGGAGGATAGGTTTATTTAGTGCCTGCGGGCTCAGAGGAGAGTGGTCTCCAAAGGCCTGAGCCCCCGAGCACAAAGGGCAATTTATACACTTCGACTTCCACATACTCGGCACTTTTGGCGCGTGCGCGAGGCGGGGCAGGGAGAAGGACACGGATTGGTGCGCGGGGGAAGCGGAACAGGGAGAAGAACCCGGAAGGGGCCCGGGGCAAGGACTGGGACTCTCTCGCTGGCTCGGTCGGCCATCTTAGGACACAGATTTTCCTTATCACTTCTTTACATGTTCTTAGGAAATTTCCAAATCAGCCAAGAGAATAGAAATGTCACCCTTAGAACCCCAGTCAATGTTGTAAAGGGCGAGGAGGTGCACAAAAATGAGTTTTTTCTATGTCCCTGTTAATAATGATTAAGTCTATGAGACAAAGAAAAAAAAATTTTTTTTTTTTCTGGACACTTAAAAAAGATGCAGCATGGGAACCAATCGATATTATAAGCAAATGTGATGCAACCTGGAACTGGGATGAGAAACCAGATGAGAACAGTGTAAGCTTGTTAAGCCTGGCACCTGGGCAGTAAGTGTGTTTCTGTCTTCCTGATAGGGTTATTGATTTCTGGGCAGCAAATATGTCTCCATATTTTCTTTCTTTCTTTAAGAAAGAAAATTATGGGAATTTTGATTATGACTTAAGTTTTTGTGGCTTGAGATCAATATGCTGCATTGAGAAATGAAATGGTTTCTGTGGGGGAAAGCTGGAAGGGCTGGGGGGAGATCCTTACAAATGTTTCAGTTTTCTGTTTTAAGCTTCATTATACCTAAGTGATTTAAAAAAAAATCAAAAGTTCCTCTTAAACACTGGATGGAAGTATATATTGCGATTTGTAATCTTGTTATGAAGTTTTGTGACCTTAACGACTAAATCTATATCGACTGCATGGCCAATCTGATCAACTGTGGTGAAATGGGTTATTGAGTTGTTTATAAAAAAATTTTAAGGAGAAAATATTGCTGACTCAGAGACTGATTGGCTAGACCCAAATTACATAAATAGGCTGATGAGCTGCTGGAAACAGATGAAAAGACTTCCATATTTTGGACATTTTTGTTGTATGTTTATAATGGATATATTAAGGGACTGGAAATGATCTGGGCTACTTTGGTGAATGAGAAATAGGTTCCTCTTTTTAGAGGACAGAAATGCTGCAATGCCTTTTAAGAGGGACTGAACCATTAATTCAAGCCAACCTGTATTTTAAGTATGAAATGACTGTACTACCTAGGTATAACTTTTATGGGGAAAAAAAAGGGGGCATTTTAAAACCAGCAACCAGCTCCATATATTTATCCTAAGTAGAAACAAAATGCTTTTTATTAATCTAATTTTATGCTTTCAGTAATTTAAAATATGTATAGAAAAAATGCAAATGTGTCCAAAGAATTACCTTGAAGTTATATGATTACTATATATGTTAAATAATAGACCAATTTTTTTCTTCTTCTTCCATTTTTGTCTAAAACAGATATTATTGTGGGGACACTGTACTCATATTAATTTTGTTGCCCACCGGTTCACGTCACAATGTCAAAGAAAATCTTCCATATTCAAATAGAGATCATAGGCAATTTTTTCTTAAAAGGGTCTCTTTTCTATTTTCACTTGCAGGAAGCCTGTATTCGTGAAAAATAAGCATTTCTCCATAGGCATGTAACATTGCCCAGAGGCAGAAAACTCAATAAGAGAAAGATAGTCATTAAACCTTTGAAATGTGTACTGGTGAGCGTTCGTGTAGGTTCTCATGCAAGTTATTCCTAACGGAACTCTCCAAGGACAGTATTTCTTATCTACCAATTTGCTGTTTTCCCAGATACATAACATTATGATATCTAAGGTGTTAGTAAAATAAAATAGGGAGGAGAGTAAAAAGAGAAAAAAAGTGTATCAGTCAGCCTAGGGACCCTACAATGTCACTGGTTGTTCAACTTAAGTACAGCTAAATTTCTAGTTTGATTACCTGTGGTGTGGGGTTTTAGACAAGTTCAAAGAGTAGAACTTTTAAAAACTGGACCCAAAGCATACAGAATAACTCATAATACAGAAGTATTACATTTCTGTGGGTCCCTTTATTCCAAAAGATAATAAATGAGTTATGAACCTAGAAAAGTCAAGGGACACTCTGCCGGGTTTATAAAATTTTATATTTTTAATTAGTTCTTAATAGAAATCACCAGTTCTTAAAGTGTGGCCCTTGGGCCAGCAGGAGCTGCAGAGCAACTCCTGGGAGCTTGTTCGAAATGCAAATTCTCAGGCCCTACTCCAGACCTCCGGAAACTGGGGCTGGGGCCAGGCCGGCTGTGCTTTTTTTTTTTTTTTTTTAATTCAACTTAGTTGGGCGCCTGGGTGGCTCAGTTGGTTAAGCGACTGCCTTCAGCTCAGGTCATGATCCTGGAGTCCCGGGATCGAGTCCCACATCGGGGTCCCCGCTCAGCGGGGGGTCTGCTTCTCCCTCTGATCCCCTTCCCTCTCGTGCTCTCTGTCTCTCATTCTCTCTCTCTCAAATAAATAAATAAAATCTTTAAAAAAAAAATTCAACTTAGTTAACATATAGTGTATTACTAGTTTCTGGGGTAGAATTTAGTGATTCATCAGTTGCATATAACACCCAGTGCTCATTACATCAAGTGCCCTCCTTAATGCCCATCATCTTGTTACCCCAACCCCCCCACCCCCGCCCCCTCCGGCCACTCTCAGTTTGTGCTTTCACAAGCTCTGCTGGTGATTCTGATGCAGCTAAAGTTTGAGAAGTACAGGGATAAACCTGGGGCGGGGTGGGGGTGGGGCTCTGGGTCTGCAAGAAAAACTATGCGTGTTAAGAGTGACCGTTTCTACTCCCCTCTACCCATGACCAAATGAGAAACAGAATTCTTCAAAGAATCTTGGCACTAATTTAGTGCACAGAACACCTGTGCACACCTTCATTCCTTTTGTCCTTCCCTGGGTCAAGTCCAAAGGTTCTGAAATGATACACGTGTTCCAGGGGTGGCAGGGACTGGTAGCTACTCAAGCGCCAGTATTTTCACAGGCAACCTTCAGTGAGATCTGGCAGTGAACACCAGTGGCTTTCAGACTCTTTAAAACCACTACTCACAGTGTGTGATCCAGTATATACACGTGCGGGTTTATAACAGAAACAAAAGTTTCCCTTATTATGATATACTCTGATAATTGTTTTCTATTCTCTTTCTTTTATTATTATTATTTTTTAAAAGATTTATTTATTTGAGAGAGAGCGAGCACAAGCAGGGGGAGCAGGAGAGGGAGAAGCAGGCTTCCCACTGAGCAAGGAGCCTGATGCAGGACTTGATCCCCGAACCCTGGGATCATGATCTGAGCCGAGCGAAGACACCCAACCGACTGAGCCACCCAGGTGCCCCACTATTCTATTTCTTTTAAAAAATGTTGGTTGTGACCCACTTGTCTTTACAACCTCCTTGTGTGTTGCAACCCAAGACTGAAAAATGTTACCCTACTCATGAATTTTTCACCCACCGTCCACTGAGAAGGCTAGCACTTGTGCAATGCTATGCCAAGTTTGTATATATTTACATATATGCATATTTATGTACAAGGGGATTCATAGCTTCTGGCAGATTCTCGAAGCCATAGGTAACACTTGAGAAATTAGGACCTAGGATGTAGGTCCCGTGAAAAGGGCAGAGGATGGGAATTAGGATTTCTACTACTAAAAGCACAGCCGGCCTGGCCCCACCCCCAGTTTCTGGAGGTCTGGAGTAGGCCCTGGAGCCCCCTGAAAACTCCTGTGATGAGATTGGGAAGGGTCTTCAGGCTCACCCTCTACCCCATACAAGACCCTCAGGGGCTCTCTCTATCGGAGTTGGAAGGGATTGATATTTGAGGGGACTTTCTACAACATAAAGGAATGGCAACACAGAGCCTACAATGTGCCCATTGCTACTGGGTCACAAGTCGGGATTTCTGCAAAGGGCAGCAGGATCAACATAGTCCAGTCAAACTCAAGGCCCTGTGCATCTCCTAGATTCAGCAGAGATTGGAGGCTGCTGCCAGCCAGATTCTTCCATGTCAGTCGTTGGAAGTGAGGGCTTTGGCCAGCTGACGTATTAGGATTAGCAAGAGGGATGTGGCAGAGGACTGTTCCTCCCGCACTCACCGACATGACGATCCAGACATAGACAAGGCTGACAGGGAACCAACTAGGCACCAGCATGCCCTTATTGGCTATTAAACTATTGAAATACTCCTGCATCTTTGGTAAAGAACAGCTGTTCCAGCCCTGCCTCCCCGCCCCCACAGCCACTCTGACCCCTCCCGGGGCCAACCAGGACCTCTCTGTGACCCAGCCACCCAAAGGTTAATACCTGGCACAGCAGGAGACTCCAAAAATGCATTCTGACGGATTGGTACCCTCACTTCTTAAATATTTTTACTATTACCTGAACACGAACCCAGCCCAGGAGGCAATGCCCCTTGGCTACATTTGCATGTACACGTCATGGCTGGAAGGTATAAAATGGAAGAGGGGTGCACTGGCCTCACCTTGGAACTGATTGACCTGCGGCACAGGGTAGGGATTCCGCTGCTGCTGGAGGTGCTGACGGGGTAAATGTGATTGCTGCAGCTGCTAGAACGACAGGACAAGAAGGGCAGGGGGGTGACACGGGGAGAGACAATGAAATATTGTGGCAGTTTCGAGGAAGGCACTTTTTTCAAACACTAAACCTTGTGTTGAGGAATCAGGTGCATCCAGGCAGGTGCACAAAGCCCAAGTTTGACGCATTTTCACAAAGCGAACATATTCCCGGTAACTGGCATCTAGATCAAGAAACTGAGCTCTGCTGGGAGCCCCGCAGGCCCCTTTCCAGTCGTTACTGACCCCAGGGAACCACTTCATCTGGCCGGGGAACCACTCTCCTGACCTAACAACGCAGCCTAGGGATGTCTGCTTTTGTACCTCGTGTAAGTGGACTTATACAACGTATTGGTGTCTGGCTGTGGCATCTGGCTTCTTGCATTCATCACTGTATTCATGAGACTCATCCATGTTCATGTGTGTAGCTGTGGTCAGGTCACTGTCACTGCCGAACAGTATTCCATCACACGAATGACTAGACCACGACTTATTTACCTGTTCTACTAGTGACGGTCCTTTAGAGTGTTTCCAGTTTTTGGCTGTCACAAATACCGCTGCTAGGAACTTCCTTGATCATGTCTTTGGGTGAACATCTGGCAGACCTCCTGGCCCATGAAGAGTGTGTACTGTGGGAGGCAGTTTTGACTTTGACTACCTACCATCCCCTTGCATGTTTTCCTTAGCGATGCAAGACCCAGTGCAAGGGACAAGCAACTAATTTTTGTCCTAAATAGATACTTCCGGTACGGAAGATGGGATTCTCAGGGGCTACAAACAAGGCTCATCTTATTCCCACGAGGCCACACTGCCTGTAAGATACATCCCCCCAAGTAAAATACACAGCATTTAGTGCCTTAAGGAAACCCGCGTGGGACTCTGCATGTACCAGGAGCCGGGAGGCTGGCGATTTCGTCTTTCTTCTTCCACTCCCGGGGATTCTGCGCTGCTAGCGCTGTTACCAATCTACTGGAAAGGCTATTATGATCATTACGATGCTGTATGTGAAAAGGGAAAGAAACTGAGAGCGAGGTGGCAAGAGCAGAGAAAGGGGTTTGAGTTTGCGTGACCTTCGGCACGTCATTACCTCCTCCTGCCCCTGCTGAATATTCATGGAGCACCTTCCATCGGCTCGGGCTTATAAAGAACACACAACAAGGGCCCTGCTCTTTCAAGTGTTCATTATAAAAATAACACACATTGACCACTTCTTAACACATGTGTTTATTTCTATTTTTTTCCTCTTGTTTTTGTTTCTGGGCAGCTCTATAATTTTCTTTCTCTTTCTTTTTCTCTTTTCTTTTTCTTGACAAGGCCAGCCCAGTACTCTGGCAACCAAAGAAAAGAAAAGCCTCTGCCCTGCTCACCCCATCCTGTGGTGCCTACCAGGGTGTTTTGCACAAACTGTTGAAATTAATTAATTGTGTAGATAAAGTGTAGACAAGAAACCATGCTAATCTTTTAGGCAGCAATAGAAGGGCATTACTGAGAGTAAACTGAGCACTTCAAAGCTTCTCCTCTGCCAAACTTCTCATATTATGTAAGAATTTAAGTGTCCCACTGCCAACTGGGAATAAGCCCTGGGGTGGCCTGGGGTGGGGTGGGAGTGGGGTTCCAATTCCAGTCCTTGGCTCTGCCTCTCGAGCTCTGCCATCTCTGACAAATCCCATGAGCTGCCTGGCCTCAGTTTCCTCACAGGTAAAATACAAAAGCCTTCATGATCACCAATATTTCTTTCAGGTCTAAAATTCTAGGTTCTGTGGAACCTTTATGAATGGATGAGAGGTGACCCGCTCCGTGCCCTTTGAGAATAAGGGATTTAACGTTAATTCACACCTGCTTTCAACCTGCTCTGTTCGGATTCTTAAATCCACTAGAATCATTTTAAAGTTCCCAAAGATAGGCAAGATCACAAATCCTTCTGTTTCTCCCTCCAGGAAATCCCAGGATCTCTAATACTCTGCTTTCAAGACTAAAATTCTTAGGACACTTTCACAGCTGCTGCAGAGCTCAAGAAAGTCAGCTTGGCATTGATATGGCACGTATTCATTCTCGAAACGCAAAGCTGACAGCTCACCACCTGTGACCCCTCGCGAGCCTGCGCCCATCAGCTCTGTCTCGGGGCCCAGGTAAGATGCAGCGCTGACTTGTTCCTGCACATGCTCCCCGCCTCACTTCTGGGCTAGTCCCACGGCAGGGCTCGCACCCGTGGCTGCAGTTCTCACGCCACATTCCGTGACACCAGGGCCACGTGACAAGTACCCCCCCCCCCCCAACGTGTACAGCTTCCCGTCCAAGTACTAACCAGGCCCGACCCTGCTTAGCTTCTGAGATCAGACGAGATCGGGCGCATTCAGGGTGGTATGGCCGTAGACTCCTGTACAGTTTCCAAAGAATTTTACACGCATGATTCCATGTGGTCCTTAGAGCAGCTACAGGAGAAAGGCTGGCGGATTATTAAGCCTAACCTGGTGGACGACGAGAAGGGGGTGAGAGGTTTTTCCAAAATCACACCACAGGCAAAAGATGGGCCACATTTTGAGTCCGAGTAAAACTGTTCTTTCCTGGGTCCCTCTCCACGACTCGGTTTCTATACCCCTTCGGCCATCTTTTCCAAGGGGCCCTGTATTTCTGTGAGTGCTGGGTTCTGACGGCTGCCCTATTCTCTCAGCGCCTCGTCTGGGCATCCTCCTGTGGCAGCTCTTCTTCCACTCTTCTGCTTCCCTCCTTGTTCCCTGAGGTGTGGCTGCCCCCGCCGAGTGGGACAGTGCTGGCTGGCTCAGCGGCGTTCGGCCTGGTTACCCTGGCTCCTATTTGTGCCTGGGTCACAGCACACACATCAAAGGCCAAACTTCCTGGGATTGGCTGAGGAGAGGATTTACACAGCCCAGCTTGCCCTCGGGGCTCCATTTATCACTGCCTGAGAGATATTAGCATGGTTCCTTGTCACACACCTTATGCAGGGTGAGCGGGATAGAGGTTTGTTTGTACAAGAGCTGCCAGGCGGCTGACTGACCTTGGTAGAAAGGGAGACAGTTACACAGCTGTTCAAGAACAAAAGCAAAGAAGGGAACATAAGTGAACTGTGCTCAACAGTACACTTTTTCTATTTGGGGGATGAGTGGTGTGACTCTGAACCGCTGCTCTTAGTAGGGACTTCAACATGTCTGCATCCCACACAAGTATGTGTGTGTGTGTGTGTGTTGAAGGATGCTTGATAAATTTCCCAAATTCTGATTGTAGGAGGAACATTCTGGAAGGGAAACTGTCAGGCAGAGCTCCGTTGGGCTCTAAGCCTCATAGGACAACCTCGCACCTACCTCCTATAATCCGAGAGAGCTGCCCTGTGCAGACCCCACAGGAGCCAGCTAGAGATCTCTGATGGAAGCCTCAGGCCTTTCCTGGGATAATACGGAATCCAGCATGGGCGTCTTGAAAAACAGAACACACTGAAACCTACAGAAGCAGCTGTCAGGGAAGGCTTTCTTTCAAAGCTGGAGGAATTATATGGCAAGGGTGGACAAAGATGCCTAAGGTAAGGCTTTATTTGTGTTAGGCCTTCCTTTAACTCAAAGATTTCTTGAGCTGTTTTAAAGCTGTTGGGAATTTTCTTAAGTTTGCACCCTTCCTGTGACCCTGAGTTCAGCTTTCCAGGTAGTTCTGTGGGCCCTATTATTCTTCTATTATTCCTGTCCCATTGTTCATGACCAATTCTGTAGAATTCTCCTCAATCCCTCCTCCTGACATTTTCCTTCAAGAAACAATGTTCTCTGAGTTATTTTCTTTTTCTCTTCATGCTAGAAATATTAGCGTCTATGAAGAATGTGAGGCAGCCTCCCAACCCCCACACAGATGGCGCAGACTGCTGTACCAGAAACCAGAAGAAAAGGAGTCAGGCTTGAATCGAAGAAATGTCTCTGGCAAACGGGCCTTCAAATTGAGGGCTGAAGCCTGTCTTTTAAGAACAAACTCATTCATTCTAAGAAAAAGCCTAACTAATTGAAAGGTCTAAATTCTGCAGGTTCTTCTGTGATCCCGGGAAATGCTAGACTGTGACTCTCTTGACAAAGGACATGAACTGGAACTCTCCGGCAGACACCAGGCCCTGAATAAATAAATGCTTGCTGAATAAATGAATCATGTTACCTGCTCGGCCAGGATCTGCTGTTGTTGTTGCTGCTGCCTCTGCTCCCGCAGGAACTGTTGCTTCTGCTGCTCCATCAGCTGGGCCCGCTGGTCAATGAGCATCTGCTTCATGATGGCTGCCTGGGGCTGACTGCCGAGGAAGCCGGGGCCCGCGGGACCGGCCCCCGACACCATGCCGCCCGAGCCTGGCGGCACCGAGGACTGCATGGGGCCTGTGGTCCGGGGGAGTCCAACTGGGTGTTGCTCCTGGGAGGACAGGAAGACGAGAGAACGCACAGATTTCATATCTGAAAGGAAGCATGGGGCGGAGAGCCAAGGCTCTCCGTGGACCCGAGGGGTCCTGAGTGGCACACATTCTATTCCACAAAACAACCTAGTAGTCCTCAAATCTGGCCTTACCACGGTGGAACTGGAGAGGTACAGGGCAACAGTAATAGAGGATGGTGCTGGGACATCTGAGAGCAAGTCTAGTCTGTTTTGGATGGGGCTGATTAAGGGACAAAGACCAGGTAATCAGCTAACATTCTGCATTTCTCCAAAGGAAAGGGATGAAGACCTCAGGCTGGACCTTAAACCTCTTAACCTTTACTGCCCACCTGGCCTAAATGGACTTCTTCTTAGCCAGTAGGAGAGACCTTTATGGAAGAATTCTGGAATTTATTAAGCAATAGATCTACTATTCAATGGAATTCTAATTAATTTGCAACATTGGAAAGCTTTGCTATATGTAAAAAGAAAAATCCTGCTAGTGGGAGTTGTTGATGGTGAGAACTGGGAATGTGTTACACTGAACAAAGCTACGTAATCTCCTGACATCTTTAAAAATAGAACCAAGTCTCCTATGTCTGGGACAGTTTATAATGTGGGGGTTGATTTGGGTCTTTTGATTCTACAATTGTCTCAGTCAAATGATGGCAATTTTTAAGGATTGGTTCTTAAGGAGTAGGAAGTAAAGTGGTAGAAAACTATCCACAGAATCTAGTGACTACTTGGAGAATGTGCTCAGAGGGGAAGCCCATAACACCCAGATGGTGCTGGCCAGGAAAAATCGCTGATGGGAAGAGTTGGTAGGTGATCATAAGATTCGGCTTCTAGATAGTTCCTTTCTTATTCGTCCACTAAGCACACCTGGTCATGGCAAGTATTGTCTCAATATTCTGCAGAAATGTTCTTTTTAACTCATTCAGGTTTCAAGTAATTAATCTGCACACAGAGGATCTCATGTCTGAGATGAACACAAATTAAATGGGCATGCATGTGAAGACATACCCGGTCCTGGGATGAGGTACCAACATGAGGTCGAAGTCGTAAGAAATGAATATGAAGAACTCTATAGTTATTTAAATATTTTTGTATCCAGTCAAACTGGATTTTAATATTTTTTCCTACTGCTGCTTTGCTACCTCTTTGGTACAGATAGAGTCAATCAGGCTGGCACTGTCCTCTCAAAACCTACAGTTGAGTTGGATCTCTGGCTCTCCTAGAGACACGGTCCTGGATCTCATTCCCCACAGCTTGGGCTCGTGGACCTCCCCTCTGTTTTGTGGTGCTCAGCCATTCGTGCTTCTCCTTCCAGCGGCGAGCTACCTCAACCACATCTTCAGCTGCTCTTCTTCCCTCCCTCCACCGACAAACGACGCAAGCAAAACAAACAAAAAACCGTTACTCCTCTCAGCCTGGGAACAAGAGGCCAAGAGGTCCTGGGGAGTTAGTGCAGTAGCCCAGGTCACACTTAGCCAATGCAAGAATCGGAAATAGCAGAATTGGAACACTGATCTTGAGTCTAAATTTAGTATTCCTTCCACTGGTCCAGGCCCTTCCCAGACTGCGGCTTGGTGGTGCCAAACGTACACCTAAGAATTGCTTGTAGACTAAATATATAGTGTGTCTCCCAGAAGTGTACTGTGTTCTGTTTTTCAAATGTAAGTGTTGTTGCAAAACCCTTTTTGTCTTTGTGTATTTTCTCAGTAGACAATTATTAGGTAGACAGCTGTGAAATATTTATGTGAAAAAGAACTTATACTAAAAAATGCCAGGAACCTTTATGCTACCACAAAGTTTCCTTTAGGCCTGACCCCCACAGGCATCAAGATATTTCAGAGTCTCCCCCTTTCCCCAGGATTTGCTTCCTGTTTCCAAGCCCTTCCTTCCAATGGGATAAAGCTGCTTCTTGCCACCTTTAGAAACAAATGACTGATTGACTAACACTTTAACAAACGAACTCAATAAACAGTTAACCAATCAGCAAAAATACAGAATACAGGTTTTTTTTTTCCTCCTGTGTATTTCGGTATATTTAATATTTTCCAGTTTTGATAAGGAGGAGAAAGTTAGGAAAAAAAAAATGAGACCCAAGGGAACTTAAGTTTGCTTCAGCTAGTTTTATGAACGGGCTGGTCTGGGCTGGCCCTAGGCTGGCGCTGTTTATCTTTGGGCACTTTGTGATATTCTTGTCCTGTGTGACCAGCCCTGTGTAGCTGGGGAGCATGCCCAGAAGTGGTAAGTAGTCCCGTGTTGCTCTCCTAGCCTTTTCTCCACCCTGAAAAGTAAGGGAGAGGTAAATGAGATAGTGATGTAGATCTATCCAGCCACTTTTGGCCCCTGTCTTCCTGGTGGGAAAGAAATACTTCAAAAGCATGGGGGGGGGGGGGGGCGGCAAGACGATGACTTCCCAAAGAGACAGGTAGGTTATCACTTCCCAGGATTATGCATTTCTCCAAATGACTCCCTCCCAAAGGTTTTGCCTTGGGGTTTCCCTGAAGACCTAGGGGCAGGAGGGCCATGTGCATTTTAAAGACTTGCCTTCCAGATGAAACATCCGTGAAGCTAAGTTGATACGCCTTTAGGACTTTCCCAACAAGCTCTAATACATTCAGTGGCGGGTGAGTGACACCTAGAGCCCCAGCCTCAAGTGTGTATTGCAAAGTGTGAAGCGCACCAAGTGACTTGCCTTACAAATGGAGCTGGCTGAGGCCATTAACTGTTTCATATTACATGGCAGCTTTTAACCTCCGGTCTAAGAGGGCTTAATGAGCAAGAGTCTGTCGAATTTCAGGATTTCAAGCCACCGCTCTTGTTTCTAAGGAGGACACACACTGCGTGTGCAATTAGAGAAAACCAGGCTGAGCTTTCGTCAGAGAAATGTAATGCCTTGAAGCCAAATGATGCAGTATTTTTAGTTTTAATTACTGTCTCGTTCTCCACCCCGCCCCCTGCCCAACGACCTCCCTTGCCTTCTCGGTAGCTTCCCCTCAGAAAGGCAACTGGCTACACAGACCCTCATTACTCCCCAAACCTTCTCACTCTTCAGTAAAATAAAGGGGGGGGGGCAAAAATCAAAACCATTGAACCCATTTTACATAGCTTCTTCTCCAGGGAAAAAATCTTAGCAATTTTCTAAGGGCTGGAGAGAGGTAGGAGGTGTAAAAAACGCCCTACCTCCTCCAAAGAGGCAGTTTCCTACTTCAAAAAAAAAAAAACAGCTGTGGTAAAAATATCTCCCAAGAGCAGCCAGCTGTTTATTTATAAATCTGTGCGTAGCGAAGCTTTATTTCTCTTAAGTGTTTTCAAGAACAAGCGTAGTGTTGGGGTGAGAGGGGCCGGGGTGGCTGGCGGCGAACCAAAAGAGCGCCGGCTCCGGGGAGGGGGCTCCCAAAAGGCTGCCGGCGGAAACGAGGCCGGAGTGCCGGGACTTGGGGGAGAACTGGGGGGGGGCTCGAGGAGGCCCCCGGCTGCAGCCTTTTCCAGGCGGTCCCTCGGCGGAGGAACAAGGAGCAGCTGCTGTTCTCCCCCTGCCCCAGCAGATGGTGGTGTCAGCCCGGCGCTCCGGCTTGCAGAGCCAGCTCCGCCCGCGCGGCGCCCCCCCCCGCAGATGGCTTAATCATGACTCCTGTTCCTCCCCCCCCCCCGCGGCCCCCGCCCCCGCCCCGCGCGTCTGGGCGGACGCTGCGAACGTGGAGCCAGGCAGTCAAGTGTTGCTGCGTACAGCAGGTAGCCTGGCAACTGAGAGCATAATACCGAGCAGATGGTGTTCGCACGGCGTGATGGACATCACACACGACAGCCTGAGACAATCCAGGAATTCCCTGGTGACTCGAGGCCCTCTTTACACAAAATGAGTTCTCTCTCCATTGCCGTGTATCTCTGGGGTTATCTCCCCCACCCCTCTCCGACTGACATCGAACTGGTTTCTTATTACCGACTTTCCTTCCAGCCCGAGGGGAGGGAGATTTCAGGTCGGGGTGGGGAGGCCGCGGAAGGAAGCGGAAGGGCTGGGAGCGGGAGGAGATGGCGGGGGGCGGTGGCGCCCGGAGCGGGGAGGGCGAGCGGCGTACACCAGCCCCCGGGGCTGACCCTCCGAGAGGGGCAGAGATCCCCGCAGCCCCGGCTGCACAAAGCCGGCGCGGGAGGGCGGCGCTGAGGGAGGCCTCGGCTCAGAGTCTTTGCAATCACACGGCCTACGAACAGCCTAAATGAAATTTAGGATTTTACTTAAAAAGTCCCCCGGGGCGTAATTTAGCCTCTTGACTCGATCCTATATGCTTACAAGTCCTTAGGGGGCTCTAAGAAGTCAGGAGTGGGGCGGCAGGCCCGAAGATGCCTCTCAGCGCAGGCGTCTCTAACAAAGAAACCGACCAGGCGGTCCCGGGCGCGGGCGAGTCGCCCCGGGGCCGCGGCGGTCCTTGGCCGGCGCGCGCTGCTGCTGAGCGGGTGAGCCGGGCGCGCTCCGGGGGCGCATTTCCCGGGTCCCCGGCACACCGTGAGTGCCCGGGGCCAGGAAGAAAAGGGGTACTTAGGGCTAGCGAGGAGACAGAGGGTTGTTCATGTAGGAAAAAGTAAGAATAATGAAATGGATGTCCCAGAAAACAAATCTATGCTTTTCACACACACTGAGCTGGATCAAGTAATTAAAAAAATCAACCTCCAGCCCAAACGGACTTTTGCCTAGATTCTATACATCAAGAGGCTCCGATGTCCAACCAATCACCCGCATCCAAAGGCTTTCTCCTGCAAAGATACTATTCAAGTTTTAAGTTTCAGAAGAAGGAAGTCTTTTCAAAGGTGGAAGCTAACGTTTCACGCAGAACATCACACTTGGTGGGAAAGAGTTCAGCAGTTCTCTGTCAGAGGGCTGCACAGGATGAATCCGACACCCACTGCAGGCTGATGGACGCGTCTGGCTGTGACTCCCAGAGGCTCAGGGTGGTGAACCGGCATTCTGAGGCTCTGGGAAGCCATCTGACCTT